CCAAAGCCTTTGGGAGGGACAGATGGAGGACAGACATCATGCTGTTGTTCACCACCAGAGCCTGTAAGAGGGAGAGGCAGGGCTGTGCAGTTGCAAAGAGCTGGGATCTGCTCTCACTGCTGCTGGGGAGGCAAAAGGAGAAGACACAACAGAGAAAATTCCCCACATCCACTCCAAAGCACCCTGAGGTTTCCAGAAGGACCAGCTCACTCCTGCAGATCCGCATGGGCCATCGCTTTCCCCATTTCAAAAAGCAGGGCATGAAAAGCATCCCCGTCCAAAGGAGCTCAATGATGAGATGCCTCCTCTGGTATCTGGTGGTACAGATGGAACATCAGCTCAGTGATGCGGAGAAATCCCCCAAGAGGCACAGGGTGAATTTTAAGCCTTTGATTTCCCTGGAGCTGAAGGGATTACCTTGCTGGGTTATTTATTTACTGTTCTCCCCTGGACTTTCTGATCTGCTTTGCCTGAAAAATTGTTAATTCTGGTCTCATTATCCACTTTACAAATGACCTTGAGCCAAATTACCTCCCCAGCCCTGGGGCTCTGCTGTGTCTCATCCTACTCTTCCAGCCCAGCCCTCAGAGGAGCTCCCCTCATCCAGGGAAATCAGGGCAAAGCAAACCAGGGCTGTTTCTCCAAACGTTTCTGCCCCAGCAACATCCCAAGGATACAGGCACAGGAGGAGCACAGAGCACTGCGCTCTCTGAGGGGGCTTCAGGTGGGTCCCTGGGACACCTGCAAAGCAAAAAAATAACCCCGTGGTTAAGTGAAAACTGCTTCTGGGCCACAAGCAGCACTGTTTTTTACAAGGTCTAGAGGACAAACTCAGGCTTGGGACACAACCTTTGAAAGGGAGAAAACCCCTCACCATCTGGCCACACAGCCAGGGAATAAATGAAATTCATAGGATGCAGAGTTCGGTGTTACATCCAAAATGGTCCTGTTCTCCCAACCCTTCCCCACACACTCCTCTTTCCCCCAGGCTGGGGAAGGGAATGCCCCAGGGATGGGGGGATTAGTCCCCTGGCACCTCCACACCAGCCCCAGGGCTGCCCCACGCTAGGAATCCCAGCCCCACGCTAGGAATCCCAGCCCCACGCAGGGACCCACATCTCACGATAGGGTCCCAGTCCTGTGCCAGGATAAGCGATGTTTCACTGTGAGGCCCCACTAGAGAGGGAAATAAGCCTGATCCTGCTTTTCCTCCCCACCACTCTACTCCAGGTACAAGCCCAGCCCCTCATGTCCTGCAAGAACAGCTCTGCTCCAGGTGATGCGGCCACTGCCCAGAGGGAAGAGTATGTTCACAGCCAGTTTTGGAGATGGGTCACTATTTACAGGTGTGCTCCCCATGGGGACTAAAGCAGCAGGGCATCGTGCAGGGCTAGGAAACAGTAGTGTTAAGGTTTAAAGAAAATAATGTATATATTAGAAAGAGGGAGAAGAATCTGTCTCCTCAAGCAAAGCAAAAGAAATAAGACTCAGGGCAGGTATTTTCCAGCCAGAAGAGACTGCAGCTGGGTCAGTGCCTCCGAGCCGGCAGCACGGCAGTAGGGATGCTCCCAAAAGTTGCAAGGATGGGAGGCTCCAGCAGCAGGTCCCAGGTCCCACGTGCCAGTTTAGGGTCTGCATCCCATCATCCCCCTGGGAATGGGCTTCTCCCCCTTCCCAGCTGGGTCTCCAAGCCCAGGGGTCTGGGGCTGATACCGGCTTAATTTCAGGCTGGAATAAAGGTGGAAAGCAGTGGAAAAGTCAGCAAGTTTCATTTTGGCTTGTCGTAAAAGAAAGTTTTCATTTTTCATTTCCAAATGACATTCTCACAGAGAGCTGAAAGTGAAAATGATTCTTTTGAGAACTTTTCCTTGCATGAGAAAAGCAGTTTTTAATTGTTTAAATTTTTTTAGCAGGGGGGAAACACTACTGCAAATGAGCTCAAAAAAACATCAGCCCATGCAGGGCAGACAGCTCTGCCAGGGGGCTGGTGAGAAGGTTGCTTCTGCTGCCCGGTGGAGCACAGGTTTGCTCTGGGAAGAGCTGTGCTTGCAACCAGAAGCGGTTTAAAGGCAATTTATGTCCCTTTAAAGTCAAGGAGAGAAAACTCTTCTGTTTTCCCACCATTGCAGAGGACTGTCCTCCACATGGTGTGTTCGTATTTATATTTGACACTTGCAAAGCAGAAGCCATCGGTCCAGCTCCAGCCGGGGAGGGAAGGGCACTGTGGGTACCACGCAGCCAGAGGGATGGACGAGCGCGGCAGCATCCCAGCCGGAGCAGCTGCTGGGGATGCAAAGCTCAGCTTTGTACAGAGTCCAGCTGCCGGGACCAGCCGGACATGGCGTGGTTTTGTACACGGAGATTTGCTGACATCTACAGGGCGTTTCACAGAGACAAGGCTGTGGGGGAACACATGTTCACGCTCAATAATTTCCTTCCCAATGAAGAAACACACATTAAGGTGTGTGACAGCCCAGGTCATTAATAACTAACTACAAATATACCCAACATGGTGGAGTGATCACTGAAGACTCAATTGTTGGCAGCTCTGCTTTGGTGGTGGTGAAGCCATCACTGTCATGAGTTGGAGGGTCCTTTTCATTTTTAAGCATCCTTGAAGCATCACCACATGCTCTGCCCAGTGCCAAGGATGTCCCCCCCATACAGCAGATCCACCCCCATTTTTCATGATGGGCCCACAGAGCAGCATTCATTACCTGATGGCCAAGAGCACCCAGGACAAGCAGCACCCACCTGCCCCTGCAGCACAGGGTGCCTGGCTGGCACCTTCACGCTGGTGACAGATCTTGGTTTTCTTGCCCAGAAACAGTCTGAGGCAGGACAAGGGTGAGGAGCACTAAGCTGCCTCCTGCCCAGGGAAGAATAGGGCAAAACAATAAAAATAGCCCAAAAATGACCCCCGGGAAGATGGCTGGGCTTTCATCCCAGGTGCTTTTCCACTAGGCAGCCCACAGGGACTCCACAACCACAGACCAACATTAGAGCCTGGTGCTAGATACTCACTGGCCCAGGTGGGTACAGGTCTCCCTCCATCTCACTCCATGAGATGTTTGTCTCCTTGTTGGCCCCATGTACCTGGGAAAGAGCCCCTCTAAGGGGTGACAAGCACCAGCCCGAGGGGAGGATGGAGCAGGGATGGCTGCAAATACCAGGAACAGGCAAGCCAAAGGAGAGGGGAGGCAGCTGGGGATGGAGGACTTTAAGCAGCCGTGTTTGCATGGAAGCTGGAGGAACGAGAGGATGTTTCAGGAGATCTTTGCTCCTAGCCCATCATCTGGAAGCAGGAATGGGGCTCTTGCAGGTAGAAAGCCCCTCGGGTGTCCTCACCACATGCAACCATGGAGCAGCAGGCAGTAGCAGCAGATCCTGGCAGAGGGACAAACATCGATCAGTCTGTATACAGCATGGCTGGGACTGATCTTGTCCTGCATGAGGACCTCGTCTAGCTGGTGACAATCAGAGATGGCAGCTCCAGCCACCAACACTCCAGCAGGCACAAGATCAGAAATACTACTCCCCTCCAAGGCAGGCTGCTGCTGCATGAAGGACCTCTCCCTGCCAGCAGCTCCTTTCAACGGCTTTTAAAAGCAGCAGGATGCGTGCATTAACAGGAACAGCTATTTTTATCACAAGTGAACTCTTCTGTAAATACCACTGTCAAAGCTATACACACCAGATGTTTTACCTTGGGACAAAAACACTTTTGAATCAAACACAGAGGATTCAGGAGCCCATAAAATCAGGCCTGACCAAGGCAGCCATCCTGCAAGATCTCCAAGAGCCACAGCAAAGGCTCCCAGGGAAGATGCAGGGTCTGCTCTGCAGCATCCCACCCACTCACTTCCAGCAGCATGGGGTTGGCATCACCCCAGGTTGCCCCATCCATGGCACAGCTCCGGCCCAGGAGTTGTGCTTGACCTGCTGTAGCTACAGCTCGGCCACCTCAAACTTACGTGAACTGAAGCCTGCTGCTCCCCATCCTGGGGAAGCGAAGGGGACAGGGACCAGTGCACAATGGTCTGAAATCCCCCCAGACATAAGGGAGATGAAGTGAGCTGCCTCCACCCAGACCTCTGCAGAACAAGTGACAACTTCTTCCGCTGCAAGACTGTTTTATTATGAAAAGATTTAACAAACTTTGTCAATTATAAAACATATAGAGGAGTAGTACATGCTGCACAGCCTGGAGAGTCAGGAAACTTCAGAGAACAGAACAAACCCCACGTTAACCTCAACTGGACGCAGAGCCAACAGAGTCCCGAGCTGCACAGCCCCTTCCAGCAGAGTTATTCTGCACATGCTGGGTCTGACCATGGATGTTCCCAAATACTCACAGCCAGTTCTCTAGAGCAAGAGACCTCGTTGTTCCCCACATGGCAGTTACGCCAGCTCTTCTGCAAAAAGGAGCACCTTGAAAAAGGCATCTCTGTGCAGGAACGGGAGCATCAGTCCCCTGGGAAATGGTCATGCCTCTCCAAGGGCTGTTGGATGTGTGGGCATCTTCTTGCTTACCCAGCAAGCGACAAGAGAGTTAGCTTGAATTTACCTTCTCTGGCACTAGCCCTTTTGCCCACATCTTCTTCACTCTGAGTCCTGGCAGCCTAGGTTCAAGCTAACATGGGTGTCTGTCCTGCTCACATCAGCGCCCCGTGGTCCCCAAAAGCTATCTATGAAATGTTCCTCAACAGCCAGCCATAGTCCAAAAGGGGACAGCAGGGCTCCTTGGATCTGCCCCTCTCCTTCAGGCACAGTAGGATTTGTGGGCTTCTTAGCAGAACGCTGGTGAGCGGCGTGTCCCAACAAGGTGCCTCTACCTGAGAGCAATGGGATCGGCATTGCTGGCAGAAGCAAACCCGCAGAGCCATGGTCCGAGGCTGCTGGATGGACCTCCTCAGTCGGAGTCGCTTCCCTCCTGCTTTGCTGACCCAACAGCGGATGCCAGCTCCTCCTCCTGCCCTTTCAACCGCTCTCCTGCAAATGAGAAACAGCAGTGGCTTAGCAATAAAGCAGCTGTACCGGGGAACCTACACAGCGGAGGACTTGAACTGCCACCCCCGAGCCCACAAACCATCCTTCCGTGCTGCGCAAGCCAAGCATGCGTGTGGCCTTGGGGAAGCTACTTGGGATGGACAGCTTCACAGACCCTTTTGGGAAGGGGATCAAGCTCCACCAGTCCCTCCCTAACCCAACAGCAAGGAACCGAGCTCCCAATAAGGATCGTGTAATCCCTCTGGAACAACTGGTGACCCCATACACCATCCCTGCGGCAGGATAACACACGTATCAATTCAGCGATGGCTCTCTGCGTCCTCTTCTCCAGCTTCTCCAGTTTCTTGGCTACATCTCGCTTCAAATCCCTGGGGAGGGGAGTGACAGCGTCAGAACAAATCCTCACCCCAGGCAGATGTGAACACAGGGGCCATGTTACACCTTTCCCAGAGGAAGACAAACTCCTTCTCTCTCCTATGAGCACCACGGAGTAGAGTGTGTGTCTGCCACCAGGGCAGATCATGGACAAACCAACCCAATATCCAGAGCATCCCTTGTCACTGAGGCCACCATGGTGACAAGCATCCCAAAGGGATCAGTGGAGTCACTCGGTGTAAGCAGGAAAAGGGAAGACAGCCCCATGCCTTGCATCTTCCTCAACAGCAGGGCTAGGTTTCCCATTTCTAGCACTTTTAACCCAACCCGGACAACCTCAAGGTGACTGTAACCCACCAGTGATGCAAACACCCCTTCCCCAGGAGCAGGGCTCTGCAGACACTCACCAGTCTGGCTTCCTGGGGGCCAGGTTTGCCAGATCCTAGGGAGGAAGAGGAGACACCCAGTGAGAGCTGCAGGCAAGGTTCAAGCCTAGACACAGACAGATGCACCCGGCACAGAGCAGCTCTGAGTATACATACCACCTCATCGATGATGGGCTCCGGCTTGGCAGCCTCCAGCTGGTCCTTCACCTTGTCTTCCACTAGATGGGGGAACAGGACCAGCATCAGCACAGGGCACAGCGGCAGGACACCAAGGGGACAAGGTACAGGGAAGCCCACCAGAGCTCTGGGCTTGGTTCACAAAAAGCTTTTATAAAAGCCCATTTGAATATCTTTGCCTTAAGAGTATGGTACGTACGAGTGAGTGCACATGGGCACACGCATCCCTCCACCACCCAAACCCTGTCAGAGGCTCCTAAAAATCATCTGAAAGTGATGCAAACCCAACAACCATTAAAGGCCACAAACAGCAATGGCAGCAAGAAGTCTGCTGGGTTCAAGTCCTCTTTTCGTAAGACCTGCAGGGATCAGCTGCTCCGCAGGTGTTCAAACTGGAATTTGACTCACCGTGACTCATTTACAAGGCCACCGCCTGAGACATCTTGGAGGAATCAGGCTCCAGCCCAGACCTTACATAAAAGTCTGCAGATACTGGGGATAATGGCAAAGCACACCTGGAACACAGCCCTCCATCTTTCAACTCAGACATCTGTGCAAGGAAGGGCAAATCCCGCTCCGCTGAACAGATATGCCCAAGGCACATTTAAGATGAATCCACACTAAGTCCCAGCTCCTCCATCCTCCTCCCTCCTCAGCCCCTGCACAAAGTGGCTGAGGACAGACACGCTGGTTACTCCAGACACAGGAACCGCAGCCGATGGGCACCGCAGCTTCAAAGAAGGGCTGGCAGAGAGCACGAGTTTTACTGGAAATGGTCAAAATTGCTGTTCCCGATTCCAAACCACACGCCAGGGAAGAGTCGGGGAAGTTTTAAACTTTTACAAAAGGATAAAGAAAGCGCAGTGTCAGCATTCCTACCTACCAGATCTCTGCCGTGCTCCCAAAGGCAGCCTTTTTATTTAGGGTGTTTTTAAAGATATCTATTCCAGGAAGATTCAATATTTCAAGATCAAGGGGACTTCTACCCTTCGCTTCCCTCTGAAGAGCTGCACAGAGGTTCAGTGCTAGGAAATAGCAGACCGAACACCCTGGACTCATGACTAATATTTGTTTAAAGGTAACTCAAACAAAAACCAGCCTGAATCTCCTTGAGAATCCTCCAGAGAGAGCTCAGTTCCTCTGAGTATCAACCCTTTGGTTTGGGGCTGGACTCTGTGTGCTCAGACACACACCCCACTTGTGCAATACCGGGTGTGCAGTCCCCACAGGCGAGAAGGGATGATGAAGCAACAGGGGCTACAAGCATCACACTTGCCCAGCAGCAGCAGGAGAGCTCCAGTGCTCCCACCATGGCTGCTCAGACATGCCAGCACCCTCAAGGGCTGCAGACACTCATCTCCTAGGACCTACCACCCTCACACAAGCAAGCTTCTACCAGAATACATCCCAGTGGCTTTTCCACCTTGGGTTGGAGCAAGCAGGAACACAGAGGTTTCCAAGCCACCTCATTTTTGGAAAGGGTAAAACCCATCCACTCTGCAGCATGCTGGCTGGATGCACAGTCCCGTGCTGTTTTATTTGTCGTCACGACCACCAAGTGCTGCCTCATTCTCTCTGGGAACACCACTGGGGAAGGAGGCTCACCAGCTGGAGGAGGTAGGATGTGCTGTTAGAGAGAGGCTCATTACAGCAGTCAGTGAATCCCTGCAAAGAGCTCTGCATGATCTGCCTTGCCTGCAAGCCTCTGGACCAGAGCAAAGCAGCGGGGGCCTCACCGCAGGCACCAGCACCACCACTGGCAACACTTCTGCTTTTGTGCTCCCTCATTTCACCTCCCACACTCCCGCTTGCACCCACCTGAGGCTGGCTTGGCCTGGGGCACCTTCCTCTTCTTCAGCTCCTCATCTTCGGGCTCGTAGTTCCGCAGTTTGAGCTCCCTGGGGAGGAAAGGGAAGAGCAGAGAGCAGTGAGACACATCCACGTTGCCCTGGACCATGGGCTCTCGCTAGCGAGGGGCACATCTGCATCAGCAGCTGCAGGCAGCGGCCAAGGGCCAGCAGTGACCCACACAAGTCAGAAAAGGCAGGGTCAGCCTGGAGCTCAGCAGAATAAAGGCAATGTCTTGGCAAGCCAAGCAGAGGCAGCTAGACCCAAGCTGCCTTGCAAAGCTCTGAACTTCAGACCAGCTCCCTTTTAGGTCTCAACCCAGTGATATGACTCAGGATGTCAACACCAGAGAAGATCCACAATCAGGGAAAAAAATGATCCCAGGAGGGTACACAGGAAGGACAGGGAAAAAAAAAGACTATTTAGGGTACAAGGTGGTTACCCAGTCACCAGAGATGCTTCTAGAAGTGCTACCAACAGGGGTGCAGGTCAGCCACGTGGTGCAAATAAGGGGAGCAAATTCAGGTTCCTGAGCAAATGCGTGGCAGAGCTGGTGGCGACAGGGACGATGATATCCAAATGACACCCAGAAGTTCACCCATCCTTCCACCTCTCTCCAGGAGAGCTCAGGAGTCAGCAGTCAGCCCTCTCCCCAGTGCACACACCTCCCCGATACTCAGATGCTGGTTTCCCCCATTTCAAGGCTGTTCTTTTTACACATCTCCCAAATAATTTGGGCCTCAAATGGACAACCATTAGACAACCTCAGTCATGTGCACCTCCAGGCTGATTCCCAATGAAGTCAAACCCTGCAAGCTTCAAGCACAGGCATTTCCAAAACCACAGCCCTGAAAAATCAAGCTCGCAAGACCCTATCCCACCTCCAGCTGCTTACACATACCTACAATGCGCTCTGCAGGCTGCTGGATGTAACAGTACACTAGCCCACAGGGCAAATTAAGTAGCTTAAACTCATTTAACACTATCGATGGGTTTAATCAGTTTAAATAGAAACTAAGGCACTTGCTGCCCAGCAATGCTCCTGCCCCAGCTGTCAGCAAAGCCCTTGGCAGCAATGAGGGTGGCTGTGCCACTGCAGAGGACACAGAGAGCCCAGATGCAAACACAGGAGAGGGCGCTTTTATCAGGCAGGAAAATCAATGGTTGAATATTACCATTCTTCTTCCCAGCACATAGCTGAGACCTGGGGCCACTTCCCTGCTAGACTTTACTGATGGAGAAGCAAGTGAGATACAACCCATCCCAAGGGTTTACAGTCAAAGCAAAGAGCAGCAAAATAAAGGGTGAAGAAGCTACAGCCCAGAAGAGGTGATAAGAAGGTAGTCAGCGGTCAGATGGCCACACTTATCTGAGAAGCACAAAAAACCCCAACCTCAGAGGTCCCTGGAGCACAGCAGGGAGGTCCTACCCTTCCCACGTCATCCCATCCCCTCTCCAGCAGGTGAATCTACTTCCAAAGAGTCCGACCCACACCACGGCTAGTGCCACGGAGGTGGTGGGAGCACGTGGTTGGAGCTCAGCAAGACCTGCGATAAATGCAACCAGCAGACTGGAAACCAGGGGCCAGGCAGATTAGGAGACTTGCAGACATTTCTTGTGTAATCAAGCCCAAGTCCCACGAGCCCTCACATCACTGCAACACCGTGAAACAGGAACAACTTCCCCAGCACTGGGAGAAAGAATGCTTAAAAGAAACACAGGAGAGATTAGCATGTAGCTGCAATACCTCCCCCAGACCAAGAGCACCTTCACCACACAAACACAGGTTGCTGTGCCGAGTTTTATGTGTATTTTTACACACACATATCCTGTAAAGAGGGATTTATTAAATTAACCTGTACTGATCACCATCAATCCCCAGCCAGAAAGGCAGTTTTTTTCAGGAAGGCTGATCCTGGAGGATCAAGTGATAATTTTTTTGCAGAAGGAGATACCATCTCCAGGCATACAGAAATCACCATTATTCCATGATTTTACAGACAATCTCCACTTAGCAGGATTTTGTTGCTAACCTGGGAGGCCAGGGGAGGAAGAGGAGCAGCTAATTCATCCAGGAGGGAACAGGACCTCAGGCTGCGATATTAGACATCTGACCACAGGCTGACTTACACTCACTGGAGAGGATTTATCTGACAAAGTGGCAGAGCCTGCAGAATGCGAACTTTCAATATCTCCCAGACTTTCTGGTCTCTAGCTCATGTTTAGAGAGATTTACTTGCAGGTGAAAGAGATCCAAACCCAGACTCCCTACAGCCAGATCACCTAAAACAAGAGGGCTATGAGCTAAGTGAGCTGTTTCTTTCGGTCCAGCAAGATGTTACCATTACACCTTGACAAGCAATATTTTAAAATCATCGTTTTGCGTATGCAATGGGAGCTGCAGCTGCTCGGCCACAGCCAAACCAGCAGAGAGCTAAGAGGTCTTCTGTTTGCAGCAGAAACTCCCAGATCCCACATTTCAAGGGACACACAGTCTGGAGGTCTGGTTCCTGCTACAAGAAGGGTGTCCAGCCCTTCATTACATTGCTGCAGGGCTTCAGCACCACTTGGGGAACACACAAAGAGGAACTGGAGTTTAAACCTGCTCCCTGACACTCTTCCCACCCAGAAAGCCCCACCTCAGCTTGCAAACAAAAGCCTTGCAGTCCAGCACTGCTCATGCTCACTGGAGGTTTATCCACAAGCTTAAAAAAAGAAAACCATAAGGCACAACTTGGCAGGTTCTGCCGCAGATGGGACGAGCAGCAGCACGGGTCTGGCAGAAGGGGAAGCAGCCGACATGTGGGGGCGAAGAGATGGGCTACGAGGCTGTGCCCAGAAGATCCCCCTGCACCTGGCACCGGTGCTTTCAGATCCTTATTAAACCCGTGCACAACCACAAGCGGCAGGAGAAAACAAACAAAAATTGATCCCTTTAATTAACTGTGCAAGGCAAGAGCAGCTTTCGCACCTGCCTCTGGTAATTCTCGGTGCCCAGCGGTCCCCACGGGTGCCTCCTCGGGGGGCTCAGGGATTTCACCACGCACCAGCAGGAGCGGAACACTTATCTCCCCCTTCTTCTGTGCACAAGTACGTCTGTAAAAACAGAGAGATGAGGAGCAGGGCAGTGCTACCCCAAGTAACTTGAAGGCAGGCAAGGGTTAAAAATATATAGATTTAGAAGAAGTTGCTGGTCTTCCACAGAGGTGGGTTAAATAAAGTTCAGGTGCCAGCAGTTCCTCTAGCACTGCGTTCCAGAAAGACAGCCCAGCATGCTTTACAAGTGATGAATTATCCAAGCTTCCACAAAAACAAAAAAAAAACCCCAGAGCTAACAACAAGCTCCATGGCAGAACGGGCACGTAGGAGCCAGGTTAGGGAGTGCAGCTCCCAGGGGTGGAGGGCACCTCAGGGCAATGCACCAGCACTAATGTGAGCGCTTAACACTTCTCCGGAAGGACTGAGCACCCTGACAAGAACTGGGTTTGAACCATTTGGCTTTAGGGTGGGGTCAAGCTTGTGCAGTCACTAGCAGATTTTATCAGCATCTCCTTAGAAGTGATGCATGTGCCCAACCCAGAAGATCTCCAGCAACTTGAGCACCTTGTGCAGTGTTTCCCAGCCCATTTCAGCCCAAACCAGCCAGGACTGCTACGGATGGAGGTAGTTATAACCTTATGGCCAGCAGTGAGTGCAGGTCTGTGCTGGAAGCTCCTAGGAATGCAAGAGGATTTGGGTAGCTGCAGTGATTACATAGGAAAGCAGCACACACAGCCTCCCAGCATCTCCTGAAAGCCTGTCAGGGGTGGCAGGTTCCCTGTTTTGGGCCAGGAATGCCTCAAATCCACTTTCCACTCCAGCCCGGAGCTCCTTGCTGGGGAAGAAGAGAGTCAGCTTTTCTTTGAAGCAGGCGGGTTGGAAACAGCACGGCATGCAGGGTATGCGCAGAATGCAAAGAGCTATCTCAATGCAAAATACAGGACACTCAAAGCAGTCTGCGAGGTTGTTTTTTGCTTTACTCCTCCAGTCCCAAGGGCTTTATGGAGCAAACACCAGTTTTCAGCTGATGAATGGATCTTTCCAAGCCTTCTGGTGAAGCACCCACTTGCTGATGTCCTTGCATCAGGAGCATGGGGAACGGGTTTGCCAAGAAACCCTGTAACGGTGATTTCTTTAGATGTCACAGCATCCTCGCTCCCATAGTTACTATCACAGTCACTTGAAGCTGCACCCACTAGACTGCTTCAAGAGCACCCTCCTATTTTTACCTCTCTGAGGACAAGGTTAGGGGCCGAGGAAAGCTGGCTGGGACATTTCAGTACAGTTTTCTTAGTGCTTCTGGAGGTGAAAGAGGCAAGCAGACCTCAGCAGGACAGATACTAGCAGGAGAATACAGGAGTCCAGCAGTGTTTGCAGACCCTGCTTATTCTGCCCAGGATCAGAAGCAGGTGTCCTCCACAGCTCTTCACCTCTCAGTCTCCCTTAAGCCCTTCATATCACCCTTCTTAAATGTCTCCTGTGCTCCTCAGCATCGTCTCTAGGCACCTGATAACTAGGGGAAAAAAAGAAGAAAAAGCTAGAAATAAAAAATAGATGCTTCCTCTGCTGCATCAAACAAAGTGGTTTTAAACACCCAGATCCCAGACGACTACTTTTGAAGTGCCATGGTAGAGCCTTTCCATTCTTCGGAAGCAGTTTAGGGCAGTCCTGGGTGTTCTAAATCATATCTCAGCCATTTCAGGCAATTTTCTTTCCAAAGCCCTGAAAAAATACCATCTTGTTTGAGAATTTGCTACCCTTTGACCTTCCCAAGCTAGTCCAGAGCCCCCATTTTCAGAGCCTTCCATTTTTGCAAGAGCCACTCCAACTTGCTGTCCTGGGCAACCATTTCCACATTGTCCTTTAAAGAGGAACCAGCACAATAATTTAATTTTATTTCTCTGCATCTCCAAAATTCACTTACTCCTGGGTGGTCCTGGGAAGCCACACTCAAACACATAAAGAAACTACTGCGACAGAAGATACGAGGGAGGTCTGAAATCCTTGAAGGAGTGGTGGTTTGGTGGACCCTCCTCTGCTTCATCACATACCCCACGATGGCAAGAAGGTTTGAAGAAGCACCGACAAGACAGCCAGACAACCAAGAACAGCAAAGCAGGCAACTTAAGCAGCAATCCAGGAGGTCTGGGGCCCAAGTTGGAGGGAGCCCACGCCGAGCTGCTGAAGAACGTGAAAGGAGCAGGGACGCTGGGGTACCTGCGGGGCCATGCGGTGAAGGTGTCCCCTGGGGCAGCACTCAGATCCTCTTCAGTGGCAGCAAACACTTCCCTCTTCTGTTTCCAGTTGCAAACCACATAGCAGAAGTCATTTTCAAGCTTTTTCTACAGCTCCCCTGATTTTTTTTTCCAGAGAAAATTCACCATATAGTGAGTTTAACTGACTGGCAAGCTTATTTGCTTTCCTACCATCTGCAGGCCCCATGGAAAGAACCAGATGAAGAGCATTTGGGCAGAGATTTCAGGCTTGGACCCTTATACCCTCTTTGCTCCCCTTGTTCACCCCCCCACCAGCCTGCTGCACTTCTCTACAAAGTCACTTAGCACATACAGGGCATTGCGTGATCACCCATGGGTGCTGAGGGAACTCTACAGCACCATCACCCTTCTGCGGCACTGCAAGCCTTGCTATACAACACCCATCAATCCTGGCATGGACTTAATTTCACAACCCCCCCCCCCCCTTTTTTTTTTTTTCTTTTCCTTTTCCCCCCCCCCCTTTCCCCTTGCAGACAGCTTTGACATCTGGGTGCACCACCTCCTGCTGCAACCTTCCTAGAGGCTTCCCTACAGTTGGGCGGGATCAAAAGCATGGTCCATACATCTCCAGGCTGCCTCACGGCACACAGTGACCTTTCCAGCAACCAAGATACACACCAAGACAATCCGCATCTGCTCCAACTTAGAAACCAAGAAATTACTTCCACATCCCAAACACACACCATGTTAGTCAAGGCTCTCCTCGCACCTTCTCTTGCAGGAGGATAGACATGTCTCTAACACAGAGGTCCAGAGCTGCTGTTTGATCAAGAGGACAAAGTTGTTGCCTTTGTTCCTGAATTCCTCACCCAAGGCAGAAAAGGAGCAAGCAACAAGCAGAGGCAGAGACCCATCAGCACCCACCCTCTGAGGAGCAATCTCTTTTTGCTGGAAGAGGGCTGCTCATGCTCAAATAGCTGAGCATGTCAGAGCACATCCTCCTCCCCAAGCGGCTGCCAAAAGGCACTCGGGGAATGCCAAAAAAACAAATGCCTCTATTAACACCACAAGCCCCCAAAACTTGCCGAGGCAGCTGGTTTCTCAGGACATGCTTCCTGGGGGAGCACAGATGGGGAGAGATGTATTCCCAGGTGTTGCAGGAGAGCTGCAAGAGCAGCTCTTCAAATGCAGTCAGGTGCCACAAGGCCATCCGGCCTCCCACACTGCTCTACCAGGCAGCTGAGTGCTTTCCAGGCAGACACAAGCAACTTCAAGAACAGTAAATACAACTGGGACAAAACCCACACTCAATCTGCAGCACGGGACGCAGGCTGGTGATGCAGCACCAGGAGCTGGCTGATGTGCAAACCCTGACCCTGCCTGCAGCACCCAGCTACCCTCCTCCGCGTGCTGGTGCAAGAGCACGCTTCGCCCATGCTCTTATGGGGTTTCTTCAGCTTCTTCAGCTGGTGGTGGGTCAGAAACTACCTGCTACCCATGAGGCTCAAGCCAAAAAGAGGCCTTGAAGGTACTTTGGTAGCATTCGGATGGCCACAGGACCTCAACATCTTCCTAGCCAGCCTCAAAATAGTGCCAAGCACGACTCTGCTGCACTCCACACTTCAATAACCAGGTTCGGATCCACTGTCTCAACACATAGCCAGCACAAGGTCTGTGAGCAAAAAGGCACTCCACATAAGCTCAGGGCTATGCACAGCCATGCCCCCACACCACACCAAGAGCTCTCCTACAGGCAGGTCAGATGGAGCTCTACGCACCTACAAATCAACACCCAAAATGCTGTGGTTTGGTTACAGCGGGGATGCGTTCCCAGCAATGACTACTGAAAAAGAGTGGACTGCTGGGAAGATGCTGGGAACTCATAGCCAAGGGTTGGGCAGGAGGGACCAGGGTTTGGGGTAGGTTTGGGTAGGAGGGACCTTCAGCTGCATCACCCCTGCACCCTGCCGCTGGGGGACAGGCAGAGGGACACCCAGCCTGTCCAAGGCAAAGCCAGGGTCACCAGGTACCCATTGAACACATCAACAGCCTCTGTTAGGAAGGTGCAGCCAGGCTTCGGACCAGCTGAAGCTCCATGGGGCCTTCCCTGTGAAAGCAGATCATCTCCCTGCTCTCTCCTCCAGAGAGAGACAGGCACAGCTCTAACCAGAGGGAAGGTCCACAGCATCCTCACAGCCCTGGAGGGGAGAAGGGCTCTGTACTGCATCAAAATGGGGACAAGCATCTTCAGAAGGGAGCCTAGGTCCTGCTGGCTCCTGAATCTCCTCATCCAGTACCCCCACTGGTTACTACCCAGGTAGATGCAGCCATCTGAACTCCTGTTCTCCCTTCTCCGGCACTGAGCAAAAGGTGCGACACTACACAGCCTTGCCCGTGCCCACCTCCTCCTGCCGTGGGCCAAGCACCTCCCCAACGTGGGAGATTTGGGGTGGTGATAGAGCCTGACTCATTGCACTGCATCCATCAGGACAAGCCATCAGTGGTAACAGGTTCAGCTGTCCACACAGATGTCAATCAAACGCACCACATGTACGGAGCTCAGCCTACAAGCAGACACTGCCATCACCCATATTTGATTTTTTTTTTTCTGTTCTTTGGAAGCTCTCCATCAAGGTCTCCACACTCCAAGATGTAAGGAAGCACATCCGCACAGCAGCTATCCTTGCTACTGCCTTGGCTGTCCTGCCAAGCTAAAGCCAACACTGAGCAGACTCACTGCTGTATTTTTTTGTGTAAAAAAAAAAGTCTGACAGTGGTTTTGACCTGCCCTGTGACATTCTTCCCACAGCAAGGGGAGAGATTGCATTTCCCAACCC